TCACCTTGAGGGCAGTCCTGTAAACTTTGTCTTTACTTGGTGTTGAAAGTGAACATTTTTGAACGTAGGTTAACAGTGTTTCTTTCCACAATATAACTAGGAATGACCAAAGTAATGCTTTAAGCATGAACTGAAGTGACAGCAGTTAACCTGAAGTCTGTTTACCACTGGTTCAGAGTCTCTGTCTTTTTAGGACCTTGCCAACAATGTGCATCCTTTGAACCCCTTAGGATTGTTTTTAACTTTCAAGCCTTACCCGAGTGATTGGCAGTATCCCTTAGTAACCTTTACTTGTTTCATTTCTTAAGTGAGCTAAATACACAAAACGTATTCTTTTGTGGTGAGAAAGATTGTGAGACTGCCCCATTGCTTTGCTTCTCTTTCTTCTAGGCTTCAAAAAAACTGATTCTTCCTGGCCACTCTAACATCTGCAGCATGTAAGGCATTAGAGCATTAGGGTATTATTTCATGAATGCATTGATGTTCCTCTGGGTAGTTAATGTATTTTATCTGTCAGCAGGGAGGAATGTGCTGTACAGCTTGCTCCTTCTGCGAGTGGTCTGACTCATGAGCTCGAGGTACTTCAAAAGGATTTCAGCACTCCATCCCATTCTTCAGTCTTGCATTTGCTTTTCTAATAATAGAAGCAGCAGTACAGACAGTGGAGTGGCTTCTTGGCTGCTACAGTTTATGACCAGTATAGCAATGAAAGCTGATATCAATCACAGTCTTCACGTTTCACAGTTCACATTTGCTTATGTGGCTACAAACACTGTCTCTCTCATACTGCTCCTTGGAAGCAGTAACCACTGTATACATCTGAGGTTCCAGTCTGGATGATCAGAACTAGGAGCTGTGTGACTTTGGTGTCTTTACGTTCAAGCACTGTTGCGGGAGCAGCATAAATAGCTGTTGGGAGACCTCCAGGGTATGTCCAGTTGGAGATGTGTTCTTGTAAGGCTTAGGACATATTGGAACTATTTCTTCAATATCTATAGTGAGCATAACTTCTGTACCCTGACAGAATTTGTTGACTTGAAAAGTTTTTTTATCGTATAAACTGCTTGCCTAGCATAATTGTGAGGAGGTGAAGCTCTTGTGATGGTGTTGCCTGTACTGAAGTCAGTGGAAGAAGTTTGCTTCACTGAAGATGAGCTAAGGTTTCACTTTTATTGATTCTCACTCACAGATGGGTAAAAGGAGGCCTCTCTTCAGCCACAAGCATCATCTCTCGTGCCAGTGAATTATAGAACTCAAGCAAACTGTACCCATGAGGTCTTGAACGTGCACTCCAGGAAAATAAAGTCAGTCTTCAAAAGCAGTCATCACTAGGGCCCGTTTCCAAAAGGAACTGCTGTGCTTTAGGAAAAATGTGGTTCTTGAGCTGGCTGGAAAGAGGAAAGAGCCAGGGCATCTCTATTGTAATTGTCTCCTGTTTTTAACACCTCTTCCTGTCAGTGAATTGAAGTAAGAGTGTGGGCTGATTAACAGCATAAATATTGTGACTGCTGAAGTCCTCTTCTCCACAAAACAGTTCTGCCTGTCAGCTGCAGATAGAGGGAAAGGAAGCAAAAAAGAATGGAACTGAAGGCCAAAGGAAATGTGCATTGTTTCCTGCAGTGAAGCGTAGAGGTGTGCAAGATGGTTTGTCACAGAAACACACAGATGGTGACTGGGCCATGTTAAACCTAATCTTGGTTTATTTAACATGGAGTCTAAGAACTCCCTGTATCTGCAGGCTTCTCTTCCCCAGCTGCTGCTTGTTTGACTTCTCGATGATGAACACTTTTCTTGATGGAAATAAAAGGGACAGTTTGGCAGCACAGGTCAGTTTATCATCATTATGAAAGTCTGAGCCAAGTTAGCTGTAGAAGAGGCTTCTTTTGGTATCAAAATCTTGTTTGAAACAGATTTTCTCAACCTTAAGGTTTGTATATTGTAAGAGCATTGAAATTGCCAATACTTTCATAGCGAGGGTACATTCTTTAATAGGAAATGAAAGATAATATATTAAGCAAAGCTGTGTTTAAGGAGATGTTATGTTGTGTGCATATTCTTCCCCTCCTTTTCCAGACCACTTTTACTGGTCACTTTTATGTCTTGTGTGTACATAGACACAGTATGTGAAGGTTTCCTTGGCAGTATGAATTTTGTCAGGAAGGGGTGGGATAGGAAGAGCTCTTTTTCTCTTTTCAATAATATGTGTCTGATTTAACATAGGTGGTTTAAAATACTTTCTAACCCCAAAATACATACTTAATAAGTGTAAAAACCTAACTGTGTGCTGGTTTACTTAGTCTGCTCTTTGGTTTCCCTTTTTGCATGGAGGCAACCAATTCAGAGAGACAAATGCCTCTAACCTTTTTGTTAAGGGGAAAACCCCACACCTTTAGTATACTCATATTTATTTTTTTTTAATGCTGTCTAGGCATGCTAAGTAATATTCAACCTCTCACGTCACTTCTGGGATTTCTTAATGCCAGCTATCAAAGAATCTCATCTACAGAGGCGAGACAAATGAGTTTAACAACTCTACATAGCTACTCTAGCTGAAACATGCTCTGAGCCCTTTGTGAATAACAGTAAAGCAGGGTACAACTTGCCAGACAAAACTGCTTAAGTATGAGGAGTGTTTAAAACATAGAAACCTGATTGAGTTACAGTCACTATTGAATACCTAATAATGATGTTCCCTCTTTGAGGAAGCAAAGGAGACTGTCCGTTAATAGTGCCATTTGCTGCTGAAGGTTTCCAAAAGATTGTACTCTTCAGTTCTGTGTGTTGCCAACCTTCAGCTTCTTGGAACAGGTTTTGCCTCATGGATGCAAGTGATTCTGAGTGATGAGAAGGAAACTGAACTAAGGAGTGGGAAGTTCTGGGGTAAAAGTTCTCCAATTTCCAGAGAAAGTTATGTGTCTTGTGTGTAGACTCAAATCTAAACAGCAAATGGATTTCCAAATCAATGTATTTACATATATAACAATTTTCAGGGGATTTATCTAGGCCGATTTATGGGTTTGGGGGGTTTAATAATTGTGATTAGAACACTTAAGAGTTTCCCTGACCTTGCTATAAAGCATGGGTCTTTCATCTTTTTTTATATATGGAATTAACATGGTAGCTTGTAGGATTGGGTGCTAGTAGGAAAATTGCCTTTGGTTCCTTCGCTGCCCATTTCCAAATGCCTGGAGGCTTTTTCTTTTTTCCTTGCTCTACAATTCAGTAGGGAAATAAGAAGTTAAGACCCAGTGCCTCTTGAAATAATAGCCCTAGGTATTCATTGGAACTTAAATTGCCAATAAAACTTATGCTGATTTTTACACACTAGTAAAACTATTTAATGAAGAAGAGACGGTTGAAAATCTCAGAAGGTATCTGAAGTTTTAAAATGCAGTATGCAAAATGAAGTTATTTCAAATTCATTGCTAGGCAGTTGTGCAGATACTGCCATTCTTTCTGGGTATGTTCATAAGTATAAAATTAATCTTTGGAATTGTTAGTTAGCTGAGTAGTCATTTGCCCAGTGTAATGACATTTAATTAAAGTGCTCGAATATTTATTCATGGCGTTGCTTTCATGCACACAGTTATGTTAAGGACAAAGCAGCCAATCATATAGTCACAGAATGGTTTGGGTTGGAAAGGATCTTAAGGTCATCCAGTTCCAACCCCCTGCCATGGAAAGGGACACTTTACATTAGGCCATGTCGCCCAAGGCTCTGTCCAACCTGGCCTTGAACACTGCCAGGGATGGGGCAGCCACAGCTTCTCCGGGCACCCTGTGCCAGCGCCTCAGCACCCTCACAGGGAAGAGCTTCTGCCTTAGATCTGACCTGAACTTGCCCTGCTTCAGTCTGAACCCATCACCCCTTGTCCTATGGCTGCAGTCCCTGATGAAGAGTCCCTCTCCAGCATCCTTGTAGCCCCCTTCAGACACTGGAAGCTGCTCTGAGGTCTTCACGCAGCTTCTCTTCTCCAGGCTGAACAGCCCCAGTGTTCTCAGCCTGTCTCCATAGGGGAGCTGCTGCAGCCCCTGAGCATCCTCGTGGCCTCCTCTGGACTTGCTCCAACAGCTCCGTGTCCTTCTCATGCTGAGGACACCAGCACTGCACACAGTGCTGCAAGTGGGGTCTCACGAGGGCAGAGCAGAGGGGCAGTATTAGACATATTCTGGTCTTCAATTTACAACAGGCTTACAACCTGGTTTTCCATCCTGTGTTCTTCTTTGAGAGGCAGTCGTCTCTCTTTTTCTGTTTAGTTACTTGGTGATGATGGAAGCAGCAATTTGAGCTCCTTTTCCTTACCTCAGGAATTCTTGGTAGTCAGGGTAAATATTGGCTGATCAGCAGCTGTAGCTTCCTCCTGACATCATTCTTACCACTGGAGTATCTGCTCTACAGAAGAGTGACTAATAGTTTCTGTCATTTGAGCAGCATTCTCTGAAGCCACTTTCTTGCCTAGAGCTAGCTTGTTTAGATGTGAATTACTGAGTTTGTTTAATGTAGCATTTTAAACCCAATGGGCCAACTGCAGACTTCTTGGTTTGCTTTTACCAGGGTAGTTTATTAATAGTAAGTGTAGAAATGAAACAAACTTGCTAACTTAAAAACAAATGACCAAAAACCATCTCTGCCAACGTGATTTGTTTTTTAATCTAATGAGGTGAGACAGTTGAATTTGAAAGCTGGGTCAAAAGCTTATGTAATTTTGAGACCCTAAATATAGAATGGTGTAATGACACAAAAAGATCAATCTCTGTGCATATGTTCTGGTAGAGAACTTTTGTTTTGTTCTTATTCTGTGCATGCAATTTAAAACTAAGCTGGATACCCTCTGCTTAGAAAAATGGTCTTGCTGATATTCCTATCTTTATGCTATGTGCCAATTTAAATGGACATGTAGCATGTAGCTTCCTTTGTTACAATTATCTGGGTCTTCGGGGTTTTTTGTTGTTTATAGTCATTGTAAAATTGACCTTTTAATGTTATTTTTTTTCACTAGTAGTGGAATGGGGTGATGATGTTAATGCAGTATCAGAAGATGAAGCCATGGTGCTGGTGAACCATCAAGCAACGGGTGACGTCTGCACTCTGATGATGTGCCTTCAGGATAAAGGCACGGTAGGCTACAACTGGGGAGTGGGATAGCTTCTGTGTGTGTGATCTGTCACCTTGGGTGTGGGGTGCTCACATCTGTGTGGGGTATTGATGACTGACTTGGGTGTTAATAATCTCAACGCCCTGAGCAGATTTGGTTTAACATGACAGCCAGTAGCTTGGAGCAGGTTTTAGACCATAAAGGTTGCCTTTAAAGAAGGATAAATACGAGCTGAGTCAGTGTGCATCCTGTCTAGGTTAACACAGGGAAGCAGATCTCCTGGCAGGTAATCATGTACTTGACTTCTCACCTCATGCTCTTGTGCAGCTTCTGCTAACTTTGCTCAAACCAGCACAAGTCTGGCTTCTTGGTTATGACTTTATTCCAGCATGGGATTTTTCTCAAAATCAGAAGCAAGTTGTGCATTGGAATTTTCATATATAGGAGTTCAGAAACTGAAGGTGACTTCCCTGTGACAACATGTCCACACTAAGCCAGCTAGCTAAGGTCAAAATTGCTTGAGCTCTTATTTTGCAAGCCCTTAAGCATTTTTTCATGAGAATTGCAACTAATGTCAATTGTTTCATGCACTGCTGTTCAGAAGTGTTCACAGTGCTGCAAGTGGGGTCTCACGACAGCAGAGCAGAGGGGCAGGATCACTTCCCTTGACCTGCTGGTCTCACTGCTCGTGATGCAGCCCAGCACACGGGTGGTTTCTGGGCTCAAGCACACCCTGAAGCCAGCTCATGTTCAGTTTCTCATTAACACCCCTAAATATTGCTTGACTAATACATGTTACCATAAGACAAGCCACACAGCAAGGTTTCAGGTGAATCAAAAGTGACCTAATTATACTTTTTATATAGTTCAAGAAATTACCCCAGTTTGTGAGAGGAAGTGTTAAAACACTCCGTTAGTTGAGGTCTCATGAACATTAAAGGTAATGTATTTAACAAAGAGAAGTAGGTTAAAATGCTGCTATTGCTGCTTTCCGACTGGATTAGGCCTGATAAATGGGGCTGTTTTTTCTGATTCACAGCAGAAAGCAGTGCCAGGAAGGGTGCAGTGAAGAGGAAGAAAGTAGAGCTTGCAGCTGGTTTGAATGCAGGTTTCTTTGTTAAGGTAGAGGTGCTTGAAAGATGAAAGTCAGTCTATTCAGGTTGCTTTGTTCTGGAACCTGTGCAATGAAAGTGGGTCTGTGAATAGGAGGCACCTAGATTTTGTAATAAAATTGGTAAAAGCTTTTTCTACATTCTGAACTTACCTAAGCAGGAAGGATGAAGCAAAAAGGACCCGAAACAGGATCCAAACCTTCTTTCAGTCCATAAACAACTACAGATCTGTGCTCAACACACTTCTGAATGTCTTTGCTTAAACCCCCTTGAAATGCAAGTGATAAAGACTCATCTCATGAGTATTGTTTCATTCCTGAGGATACTAAACAGAAGAGCCACCAGCAGTATCTTGCAGTGTGATCTGTCCTGCCGTTGGTAGCGGAACAGGATGAATATCCATTAGTCTAGTTTGCCTTTTGGTTGCAGATAATACGTGTGTCCTATTCTTTAAGTCTTCCTTTTCAGCTTTATGTGTTTGAGTGTGTGTATATGTTCATTAATTCATCCATTAAAAATATTTCCTCTTTGTACTTCTAACCACTGCTCAGGCTTATAGGCAGGCTTGTAGTCACTAAGATCTAGAGTTTGCCTCTTTGTAGCCCGCTTGCAGCAAACTGCCTGTATGTTTTGTCTTAGTTATAACTTGTATGTCTCACTCATCTTTGACAAAGTTACATCATTGCCTCTCAAAAAGCCTGAGGAAGCCTATGGATGGCACAGCCTTTAGATGACCTGTGTCATCTAAACCATGGTGAGATGGACTTCAGACTCAGAAGAGCAATGATCAACTTTCAGGATACACCTACTGGCATCTAAATAAAAAGACAGTAAAAGCTGGTATGGGAGGAAAGAAGCATTAACGCTGCTGGGAAAGAGTTCCTCCTCCAGGACTGCCCTAAAACATCCTGGAGAAGAATGGCGACTTCTCAAAAGACACAGATCTTTTCGGGGAAGCACATTATTATGCCTGCTGACCTCCTCCAGTAAAGTAGATTATGTTGGTTTAACTTCTGCTTGCTATAATAGAACAGTAACTGTCAAAATGCCAACATATGAGGTGAACACTGACAGTCATATGGGTGCTGCTGCAGGCTGAGTCCTTGTCAGTGGAGTTTTGGTGATGTTTTTATCTAAGGATATGGTTCCTTACACCCCCTCTCATCTATGGGCTGGTGCACAGGCATGAACTCAGATACTGTAGTGCCTTGAGGAGTGATAATATCTCAGTGCTTTTTTTAACTCCTGTCCCTTGGGCTCACCTCTTCTTTTTTTGTCTCCTCCCTAAGGCTTTCTAATTTACTGAAATGGGAAGAATATAAATCCCTGCAAGAGGAATTTTTGCTTTAAGATCCTCTCTTTTATTGAACCCAGGCCTGGGGATAGCTCTATGGGAAACCAATTCACCAGTATTACAGTCTCAAGTGGGGACTTCTATCTAGGAACAGGTTTTTCTTCTCTCACTCACAAATACCTAGTGTGTTTTTGTTCCCTTGGATGCGTAGCATCTAGTAGGAAGTGCCACTGGCAGGCAGGAGAGCATACTAGCATGTCACAGGGAAGAACTGGATGCTTGTTTCTAAAGCAGAACTTTTCTATCTTTGAAAACTGTTCTGTTCTGAGACATGCTTTCCTTTTCCACTTCCAGCAATGCTGAAGGGTCCAAAAATGGGTGCTCTTGCATTATCCAAGATCTTCAAGTAGAAAGGTTCCTAGTATTTAAAACCACAGAAGTTGAGGTGTTCTTAATGTGCTCTTAGGCAAGGATGTGAATTCAGAATTACTGGGAAATCAGCTAAATGTCTAAGGCAGTCGAGTATCTCAGTGTTCTTTGGCAGCTGTGTTCTTGCAGGTGTGTAAAAACTTCACTTTGAGCATCCAGCTGCAGTTGTTTAAGGTTAAGTGAAAGAAACAGGGTATGTGACAGTTATCTTGCTCCAACTATATATAACACAGGATTCATTTATAGCTTCTGTGGTCAAAAGGGAGCATAGGTAATCAGAGGACTCCAAAAGATAATTAGATTTCTTTGGACGAAAGACTTACTGATGCATGCAGTTCTCAACCCAACTTGCAAATTTTGGAGCTGCTTTTACAAATCAGAATTCCTGCATTAAATAGGATCTGCTTCCTTCTCCATATTCCACATGAAGATGTGAAAACAGGGAAAAGCCACCCTCTTTCACTGTATCAGAATGTTTTGTTAGAAGTATTGTTAATGTGGTGGATGTGGTTTATAAGTATTTCAGTTATTGTGCAAGCTTTTGGTGTTTGTAGGTGTAATCAACTAATACATTATATTTTCCAGAGGAAATCTTTACTTCCTAGACTGCTTTCTTTCTGCCTTGGCATCTTTCAGTTCTGTAGGATACATCATTGGAGGCAAAGCAGAAGGTGCCTGTTTAAAATTAATTCTCTTCTGACTACTGGAGAAATGTCATGGTTCTCCATATGCTGTTTTGATAGTGGTAAATGGAAGAGTACTACGTTACACGACTTTAAGTTTCACTGAACTTGAATCAGTTTTAGTGTGGCCTTATATCATAAGGAAAAGTAAAGGCAGCGAGCCTAGTGTACAACAGTATGTAGGGACATATGTGGGTTTTTCAGTTCTGTAGAGCAAATCTGTACCCCTCTCAACATCTACATGTAGGAGCTATAAAGGGCAAAGACTTTGTTAGAGAAGAAGGCTTTTCCCTCTGTTATTTACCTCTTTTGGAGTAATTATTCTATTTTAAATCTCAAAGGACTGATCAGGTATATGCCTTTGCTCTCCTGTAAGAAATGATGGTCAAAGTGAATCTGATGGCACAACCTCTATTTTTGCCTTCTCGTTATGCTTCTTGGCCAGGACAAGGAGCACGACTTCACGGAGTTCTCAGGAATGCATGTGGTGCTCTGCCATGAGAGAAATGAATAACGGCATGTGGGCTCTCCAGAGGTCTCTCTAAATGCTGCTGAGCATGTATGGAGCATATGCACATCAGAAGCATGAGAACAACATGATCTCATTCCCCAAGTAGAAGTAACTATAAGGAAATATGGTTTTGTGGTATACATAAACCAGTTGGAGGTTTCAAATACAGATCTGTATCATTTGTGTGTACTTTAATGATCACTGAAGATGGGTTTAGTTTGCAGCTGCCTTAAAATTGTGGTATGTCAGTAGAAGCATTACAGCACCTGTGTGAAAAGGCAGAGTAGAAGTCACTTCAGCATATGGCTAATAGTGCAGAACTGTATAGTATATTACCAAAAGGCATCTATTCAATCCTGCTCTTTGGGGAGAAGTGTAGCACCTCTGTTGCTTTAGACTTAAGGGCATAAAGGACTTTAAATGTATTTGCTGGTTTTGTTGCTGCTGCGAGGGTGGTAAGAATGTGACCAGAATATACATAACTCTCTGCACTTGGTATTTACTAATCTTCTTTTGATAACTTTTCAGGTTGTCCGTCAGATGATGTGGCTGATGGATCATATTTTTAAGTACACGAACTTTGGCATCGTGTCTCTAATCCATGGAGACTTCTTTATAAGACAGGTAAGTGAAAACACATAGTAGTGCTTTGAATTTATCCTTATATTTGGAACATTGTGCTCTTATGGAACTTACTCATTACCTCCTGGATGGTTTGCAGGAGGAAATAACTATGCTGTAATGTGTATATTTGGGTAGAGCTTTGTTCTGCTTTTGTTTCCCAAGTTTATTTTATTATATTCCTAGACACAAACTTTTATGGAATCCAGCTGTGATGGGAGGCTTTTATGGGAGGAGTGCAAGCACAGTACATGGGTAGGCCTTTTAGTCTCTCTGCTTCTTATTGCCATTGTTGGCACCTTTCTTCTTTCCTTAGTGACCTTAAAGCTGTGGAGTGCTTCAAGTCTGGCTAGGTCACTGTTCTGACTGTCAGTGTCAAATAAAGAAAGGCAGGACCATTCCTTTCGATGCTGACATGATAGCAGACCAGTTTAAGGCAGTGAAGGACCTGCGTAAATAGTAATTGGTTCTTGAAGGTTAATTCTTCTTTGAGCATCAGGAAAGAGTGTGCCTTGAGCTCAGCATTTCAAATGTTAAGGAGTGAAAACCTCAGATCATTTCTTACAATTTGGAGGTTTTTCTTATTTGGTAGCTGTTGATCCAGCTGCACTCTAAAACCAGAAACTTGGAAGTGTGGAATGCTAAGTGTGAACCCACAGCCAGTTTGTGAACTGCAACATCCAGCATAGTCCTTTCTTTCCTCTGCTTATTTTTATTTGTCTGGACTTCAAATGCATGGGCAGCCAGAGAGAATTAATGAAATTTCACTTTACAGCGAAAAAGCAGCTAAATGACTCAGAATGGAATGATGGAATACTTTATCACAGCTATACATAGCTGAAATTCTATTTCTCACTAAGACTAGAGGCATGGTTAGAAAACCTCAGGCAAATAATTAGATAAGATTAAGGTCTGTAGAGATACACAACTGTGTACTGTGAGAGGATGGAAAGGAACAGGGTTTGACACTGTAAACTGTCTATTTCAGTAGTTAAAATACATCAGATACACTTCTTTGAGGTACGTGTGGCTGTCACGTTAATTAACTGTAATTTCTGAAGGTGGTGTTGCAATTCCAGTTCCAAATCCAAACCATTTCTGAGCTACAAAACCTAAGGCTTTTCCTCATTTTTGTCAAGTGGCTGAGATATGCAACAACATCACAAGTAAAGTGAGATCAGCATGAGTCTAAATATAAACCAAGCGAAATAAATTGTTTCCTGGCTGTTAGTTAGCCTTTGGGTGTAGCAAAACCACTGACTATAGAAAGGCCCTAGTAATGTTTGGATGCGCAGATATTTTTTCTCCTGTAAAATAATCTAATTTGATTATGGTGCAGTGCATCTGATTTGTTTGAAATGCACATCAGCTTCATTTTCATGAGCAGCCCCAGTGGCAGTTTTAGGGATGCTTCCGAGGCCTACCAGGAGTTGACCAGTTTATTCCTCTTCTCCCATTAAAGAGTTTACTGGAAGCAGAGACTGTCAGTACCTTGCCATATCCATGATGCAAAGTGCACCCTAAAGAATTTGTCAGCAGTCTCTTGCTGCCTCTTTTCTTTCCTCTAAAGGAAAGAAGGCTGAGCCCTGTGATGGAGATCAACTAGCCATGGTCTTCAAGAGTTGGGTGTACAAGGAGCTGCCTCTGTATGACTGACTTTCTTTTTGGATAGTATGTTAACTGTGTTTTATCTTCCATGGTTTTATCTAGCCATGGGTGCTTTTAAACACTCCTTTTTCCCATTTAGTCCATTGGGCTTTTTTTGTATTGCAGAATCATCTGAAACCTCACAGGATTTGCTAAACTGCAGTTTATTCACCAGTCATATTTGTTAGGTTTGTTTAGGTTTGGGAGAGTTCTAATGCCTAGCATGTGAAAAGATTACTGTTTGCTGTTTCCTTAACTCCTGTGCTACCCTGAAGTCCTGTGGTCTAGTTAGAAAGCACTGGTTTACCTGAGGGATTTTTATATTGCTCTTTAATGTAAGCAGGTAGAACCTTTTCCTTCCCTTCCATCCTTGGCAGTGTTCAAGACCAAGTTGGATGGAGCCTTGTGCAACGTGGTCTAGGGTGAGACATTCCTGCCTTCATTAGAAGGGCACATCTCACTGTCTTAACTGAAGAAGCTCTGCTAACGCATAGGAGAGGAGAAATGAACGAGTCACTTGAGCACCACAGATTTGGGTGAAAGCTGTGGTTCTGCTGTGGTAACCTCACTCAGGCCTGGTCTCGAGGTCTGTGGTGCCTCTGCAATCCTAATAGAGGCTAGGGGTGAGGGGAAAGGTACATAGAGGATAGTGGAAGCAAAGATCCTGTTTGGCTTGCAGAAATGCCTGATGATAGATAGACCACAGAACCATAGCTTGACCTCTAGGCTGTGTTTGCAGAATTCAGTTTAGCAAATTCAACTTGAGGCACAGTAACAGTTAGGAAATCCTGCAAACACGTCATCCTCTTACATGGAGTTCCCAGTTACGGTCTGGATGTCACTTCTGCAGAGACTTCATCAAATCAGGAGCTTCATCCCCAGTTTCAGGAAGGTTTTTTCAGCCTCTCTGCATAGTGGCATTAATTCAGCCACCAGTGGGTACGCTGAGGAGAACGTTGGTTTGTGTTGTCTGGGGGGCTTTTTTGTACCTCTGATAAGAGAGGACTCTTAGGAATGGAATAATTATCTGGCTAATATTATCTCTCTTAGGCATTCATTTCATTTAGGTGATGTTTTATCCTTACAGGGAAGAGCACACCGTGACCAGCAGCTTGTGTTACTCAAGGAGCATCTAGAAAAGTATTACAGGAGCCGCAATCGGAAATGGATTGTTTTATTTCCAGAGGGTGGCTTTCTTAGGAAAAGGAGAGAAACGAGCCAGGCATTTGCCAAGAAAAACAATTTGCCATTTCTTAAACATGTTACCCTGCCAAGGCTTGGGGCAACGCAAGTAATCCTGGAAACACTTGTAGCGCCGCAAGAAAACGGGACTCCTGCAGGTGGAGGTGCTGTGATAAGAGGTAAAGACCACTTCACTCTTGTGGGGGAAAAGCAAATTGAATGGCCGTGATTGGAGTTACTGTGTTGAACTGGCCTCTTCTAATGTCAGAGTGCATCCATAATGTACCATTGTATTTATATATGTGTTTGCATATTTATTTTTCGCTCCACCAGCTTTATTTTTTGATGTTTAGACAAAAAAGAAACCCATAGTTTTAGTTTGATAGAGTCTACTGTGTGGCTGTGTGAATGCTTGCCTTGGGGCACATGGTGGGTAAAGCAGACACTGGAATGAGCTCTCAGAGTGAACAAGAAGGTGGGCTGCTCCTTGGAGCAAGCTTGATGGTATGCACTGGTTTATGGTAGTATGGAACTGTAGTTAACAGTGTTTCTGGAATATGGAAACTATGTCCAGATTCTTATTCCTGGCTTCAGAAGTTTATTTGAATCCAGTACTCTCGATTTTATTCCTCCTCTTGAACTATATTCTGTTGAATTCAAGTTCTTCTGTTCTATACACATTTTGATGGGAACTGTCTGCTTTGTTGCTGATTAGTTGATTGTTGCTGATGACTCGATTTGAAGGATGGTTTTGGCTGTCCTGTGTTAAAAGAGTTATGAGAGAATAAGAATATTCCTGCAGCGTTATTATTGTGGGACACCTGGGCTGAAGGGGAGGGTATAGCTGGGTTATAAATGATGTCTGTAGTTACAGGACTTGGTGCTTTTAGTCTGTCCATTTTTATAATGAACTTCTTAGCATGTTCAAGTGCAGGGTTAGATCTTGCTTAACCTAATTGTGGATTGTTACTTCTTATAGAAACAAGTGGCTGGGGGGTTGAGGTGGTTTCTTGTTGATGGGTGGTGCTGGGATTTCCAGAGCCAAATGATGACAATCATTTGGCAGTTTGAATCAAAGTTTCATACTAACGAAGCCACAGATGTTAAAGGCTTTGGTTTTTTTCTGTTCAAGTTTCAGGATTAGTAGGAACCCTCAGACAGAAATTGCTTCCAGATAATCTTGTCAACATAGGAAATGGATGGAGATGATGCACTTGCAGAAATGGAGGGAATCTTTTATATCAGCTGAAAATGAAGCTGTGGAATGCATCAGAGTATTTCCTTTCAGGCTACATTCAGAAAAGCAAGGCTGAAGGAAGCCCTTGTTGTCTTAGAAGGTTTTAGGTTTAAAAGAGAGAAAAAGAGTAGGCCTTGTTAAGAGTTAACTTTTTTAAGGAGAAAAGTTTGACCTGTTCCATTTCTTCCTGTTTCAAAGGCAAAAAGGTAGGAAAAGTAAGAAGTTCCTCAGTTAGTGACAGGCTGGAAGGGGACCAAAAGCACTCATCAAATACCAACTTAATGTTTTCATACTCTCTGCCATCAACTTAGCAGAACATCAGACCTGGTGCTTTTTGAGTGACGTGAGTCAGGCTCCAGAGAAGTGAGTATTTGAAGGTGATTGGCCTAACTGGGTGCTAGCTGAAAGAGTTGTTTCAGAAATGCATGGAATCCTCTCCATCCTATCAAGAAGACAGCAGGAAAGATGAGTGGGCAAAAATAGGAAAGAAATGTGTGTTTAGCTGTCATTCTTTCAGAGTGGCATGTGTGAAAACAAACAGGATGAGAAAGAAGTGAAAGTGAAGTTTATATGGTAGGGAAGAGTAATACATTATTTCATACGTAATGAGCTGAGGTATTTTAAGTCCTCCCAAACAGTTGGCACTTAAGGAGTTTGGAGCAATTGTTCACTGAATAGAGACATTCCAGAGCTTATTTTTGATCAGCATTGCTCCAGTATGTTTTTTTAAGTCTGCTTTATTTTACTGTGCAGCAACTTCTTGCCTGATAAGAGACTGCCATGAGCTTGGTTAGAGGCATATTGAAACCTTATCTTGCTGTTTTCAACTGCAGCACAGTACATCCAGTTCTGATGCTTATTCTAAGAGAAATTCAGTTTTCCCTTCTGCAGAGCTGGAGACTGGACATCATAATTGGTTGGTTTTATTTAAATCAGACTTTTTGACTCACTGTGATGAGGAATGTGGGAAGGCTTGCTTTTTTTGTTATCCGGGAATAAGGGCTTCTTGTTTTGTTCCAGGTGATTTGTTACGGAGAGATCTTGGGATGATGAGTAAGATGTTCAGTCTGAGAGCTGATCTTTGGGGCAAAACATGAATTTTAAGGTCAGTGGTCCAGTTGAACACACAAGGACAAGTAGAGAACAAAGGATGAGTTACAAGAATACATTGCTATGCAGGGGAAGGCAACAGTGTCTTTTGGCTGCTATTAGAGTGATGTAAGTGTTCAGGAAACCACACCTGAATACTAGTGAATGCTAGTGAATGCTAGTGAATGTTTTCTTTTCAAAGTGGAAAATGTGGTCCTTAGGTCCGTGCCTGGCTGGTGCGTTCTTTACCACTCCAGATGCAATCTGGCAGCATTGCAGAATCGTGGACTCGACCAGGTTGGAAGAGACCTTTAAGATCATCCAGTCCAACCGTTCCCCAGCCTTGCCAAGGCCACCCCTAACCCGTGGTACTGAGGCCTCGTCTCCACGCTGTGTGAACACCTGCAGGGACGGTGCCTGCAGCCCTGCCCTGTGCAGCCTGTTCCAATGCCTGAGCACCCTCTGGGGCAGGAATTGTTCCTCAGCTCCATCTAAACCTGCCCTGGGGCAGCTTGAGGCCGGTTCCTCTTGTCCCATCCCTTGTTCCTTGGGAGCAGAGCCCAGCCCCTCCTGGCTCCATCCTCCTGTCAGGCAGTTGTAGGGAGCCATCAGGTCCCCCCTGAGCCTTCTCCACACTGAACCCCCCAGGTCCCTCAGCCATTCCCCATCACACTTGTGCTCCAGGCCCTGAACCAGCTCTGCTGCCCTTCTCTGGCTGTGCTCCACAGCTCGGTTGGATGCGAGGCTTCCTGCTGAAGCCTCTCTTCATAACTTGCTCTCTTTCTCAGTGGTAAACACTGATGATCTGGTGGGTTTGAAGAGTCCTATGCGTAGTCAAATGAGAGTAACCCCAGGGAGGACATAGAGGGGACAAAGAGAAGGTCTGAACCACAGTAAATTTGTGACTGTAGACAGTCAAGTGTCTGCTGTGAAAGGACCATAGAGGGTGACAGAGCACTGGATGTCTTGATAATGCTGACAGTGAGTTTCTTCATAACTAAATAGGAAGCAACTTAGTAACACTGAATATACAGCTAGAGCAAAAATAAGAAAGGAGATAGCTGTGCAGATTTGCCTCTGCTAGTGAGCTTAAGGAAAAATAACATCACAAGTTAGGAAACTGTATAAACTTTCTTTTGAGTTTTGCTTTTTTTTGTCTAACCGTGAAAGTTACTGTTGTGATTGTTCAGTCTCGTCTTAGCACTTACAAAGCAAGTATGTACCATTCACACTAAGATACGTTATTACTGTGTGGTTTGGATGCAGCTGTGTAGGACAGATGCCTACAGGCCTTTTCTGAACGTTTATGTTCTATTGAAAAGCAAACAGACTGTAGCATTTGGAGGCAATCTGAGACAGCAGAATCCGCCACTTCTGCTAGAAGGAGATTCACAGTGTGTAAGAAGGACACGGAGCTGTTGGAGCAAGGCCAGAGGAGGCCACGAGGATGCCCAGGGGCTGCAGCACCTCCCCTATGGAGACAGGCTGAGAACATTGGGGCTGTTCAGCCCGGAGAACAGAAGCTGCGTGGAGACCTCAGAGCAGCTTCCAGTGTCTGAAGGGGGCTACAAGGATGCTGGAGAGGGACTCTTCATCAGGGACTGCAGCCACAGGACAAGGGGTGATGGGTTCAGACTGAAACAGGGCAAGTTCAGGTTAGATCTAAGGCAGAAGCTCTTCCCTGTGAGGGTGCTGAGGCGCTGGCACAGGGTGCCCAGAGAAGCTGTGGCTGCCCCATCCCTGGCAGTGTTCAAGGCCAGGTTGGACACAGGGACTTGGAGGATTGTGCTCTAGTGGAAGGTGCCCCTGCCCGTGGCAGGAGGTTGCAATTGGATGAGCTGTAAGGCCCCTTCCAACCCAAACCGTTGTGGGATTCTGTATTGTAACCAGTGCAGCATTTTTTCTGTTCTGAGTTCCTGTTAGCGTGCTCCATTTAAAAATAATAGAGTTTATTCTTGTTCAGAGGTCTACTTAGGCCTGAAAGCAACATCCTCAGAGGTACTCAGGTCCTACCCCTTGTGTTGTATGCGGTTGGCTGTTTGTTTTTCATTCTCAGGTTCTGTTAGAGCTTCAAGGCAGGGCACAACTAAGTATAACCCCCCCAAAAAAAGACAGCAAGATTTGCTTTACAGTTAACTTTCTGAAATCCTTGGTGACTTGGGGCTGGTTTTTGGCAGTGTGGGATCTCGTATGGTTAGGTAAGGCTTATGTTAAACCAGAGCGTGCCAAAATGTGCCTGTGGCTGTTATTTGGAAGCATGTTTTTGTAATTGCACGTGGACGTAGCTGCACTAAGACTTGCTCACTCTACAGGAGTCTGTAGAGGCTGATCTTACCTTCAGAAACTTACAGTTTTTCCTCCTAACCTGGATTTCTGGTAGGCTGTCAGAGGTCGGTTTACCTCCCCATCCTACTCTGGAAGGGGCTGGAGCTGAGTTTGGAGCTGGTCTGAGGAATGCATGCAGCAGCTCTGCTCCACAAAAGCAGAAGGTAGGAAATGGGCACAGAAGAGGACTGTGGGAGCCTTCCCGTAATGAAGTTTGAACCATTATCCACTGAACAAACAGTTTGAAATGCTAGCTAAATATTTAATAAATGATTTTAAAATATTTTACTGTAAATAGGATAATGTGCCCATATTCATCTGGCACTTCTTAATTGCAGTTAATGATCTTCGTTGCATACTCCCTTAGACAATTTATCTTTAGCCATTCTTCCTTTACATCTGGGAAAATAATAAATTGAATGGCTTTGTTCCGAAATCCATTTCTAAATGAATACTTCTCTGGATTTACTATTAATTTCATATTGGCTTGTCTCTAGTACATTGCTGCTTTTAAGATGAAGGACTGTAGTTAGTGCTCTTCTTAAGAGAGACTTGACAAGCACTCTGTCATCATGCTGGCAAGCCTGGAGCCTCTGATGGGACCTCGTGTTCTCATTTCATGTGTCTGTCAGGGTTTTACAATGCTCTGTTTCCAGAAGGTGACACTGGATGTTCCAGCTTGACCCGTGTAGCTTGCCCTGCATCGAAGTTTGGAATAGCTGTAATAACTCATCACTAGGAAATACTGTCTTGCTTATCCAGGTGGCATATGTGTGTTTGTAGCAAAGCAGGACAACTCCATTGTTGAGTAGACACCCCGAAAACACTATCTGCTTGTTAAAATAACTGATAGGTGAATGTGATAGTGTTGCTGTAACTGTCTTCTCACACTCAATGGAATTAAATGCAAGGTAAGTTAACTGAAATGCAAGTAGAAACTTACAAGTCAGCCCTTGCACGTCTGTTCTAGTTGGTGTAAATAACTATGGGGTTAGAGTGCACCTCAGACTGGGTGTTGCAGGTGTCTTCAGGTATGTGGTAGCTCTTCTGCCAAACTCGGGTGGTGATGCTGGGCAAGACCAAACATCCGTCTAGACCAGTGTCTTGTCCAGGGCTGCTAGTGGGTGTCAGGATTCCTAAGTGGGAACGCAGCAGACATGCATCATACATAGAATCATGGAATAGTTAGGGTTGGAAAGGACCCTATGATCATCTAGTTCCAGTCCCCATGCCATGGGCAGGGACACATCACACTAAACCACGTGTGGTCTGTCCAACCTGGTCTTGAACACCGCCAGGGATGGAGCATTCACAACTGGCCTGAGCAACCCATTCCAGTGCCTCACCACCCTTACAGTAAAGAACTTCTTCCTTCTATCCAGTCTAAGCTGTCCTGGTTTCTGACTGTTTCCAGTGTGGTAGGTTTCCCAAGCCATGTGGGGGTTTCTGCCTGTTTAGTTAACCCTCCTTCCATGTACATCTCCAATTTCCTCTTGAACTCTCAGCATCCTTGACATCCTTTTGCAAGTTTTGACACAGTTTCCTTCCCCTCTGCACAAAGAATCACTTCTCTGTTTGCTCTGAAAACTCTTCCTCTTGGCTTCATGTTGAATGTGTCTGTTCACTGAGAACAGCGATGAGCAGTCTTTCCCTGTGCATGTTCTTCATGCCGATGGTGCTTTTGTCAACCTGTCGTATTTCTTTCATAGCTGTCTCAGGTGCAGGCTTGCAGGATCGTGTGTACTTGGTGCTAAAACCTTACACCTCTCCCATGCTTCTGCCAACAGGTGGCTGTTTTCAACGGTCAGCTTTTTAAACGCTTTAAGATGTTGCTGGGTATGATGTAAGCATATTCCTATACTAGTGCATTAAGCATGAAGCAAGCATGTTACTGTACTAAACTGAACACAACACAACCTCAGATACAAGAGAGCTCCAGTTCCCACAGAACAGATATAAAGCTGATTCCAAGTGCCACCTTGGCCATGTGCCCTCCTTCCTGGTTTGCTTTCCAGATCTCTGCTCTCCCTCTTTGCAATCCTATGAATTAAAGACATGCCAGAGAGAGGTCGTGGCTAGGTTGATGTCTGACCTTGACTCTTGCTGGGAGTGACCTATGTTTGGATTTAAAGTAATCCTGAATAATCTTCATAGCTATTTGCTATGAAGCATAATCTTTGCTATTTCACCTCCTTTGATCCTATTTTTAGTGTGGAACTGTGCTGAGCAGCATGTGAACATGTACTGGTGGATCAGTCCTTGTGGGACCTTGGGGATGCAGTCTCTTCTCCATTGCAAAAACTGACCATCTTTAGTTGTTTTCTTGTCTGTAATACACAGCGTGGCGTATTTGCTCTATCTCGTAACTCAGATTTTTAAGACCCTTTAGGGATCTGCGTGGCTGTTGCTTCATCAGGGAGCTGTAGCTGCAAGCTCTTACAAAGGCCCAGTTGTAAATGTGCTCAAAGTGCAGACCAAGGAAGTTAATTTCTAGTTTTGAAGTTTTCCTTTTGGTGAACAGGAGGAAGCACCTGACTTTTGGACCAACATGTTACGTGACTGTGCTCATAGCCAGGGGGTGAACTTGGTCCATTCTGAGTACTACTATTTGTGAGAACAACAACAGTAATGATGAAAGGAAAATCTTGGTCTAGCTGAAGTTTTTAAGAGTGTTTCTGTGCTCTGTGATGAAATCTGGATTTGGCTTTTTGCCTCTCGTTTTTTGTGTCTCACCCCTCATGAAGTACTATAAAAACGGAGTAGCTGTCAAATAAGTGCCATGCAGTGATTGCTTTAATACCATGCTTCTTTTTGTTCTTAGAGAGCAAATCAAAAGGCCTCCAGTGGGTGATAGATGCAACCATTGCGTATCCCAAAGGTGAACCTCTAGACATCCAAACCTGGATTCTTGGCTACCGACAGCCAACGGTGACACATGTACATTACAGGTAGGACAGAAACCTTCTGCTTTTACATTGAACTAAAATACTGAGAAACATGTTTCCACAAATGAGTTAACAGCATGTTTCAGGGTATGGGAAATCAGTAGCAATGGCTTTTGTGTGTGTGTCTCACACAGGTGGGCAATTTGTGCTATCTAAACTCAGCACAGTTTTCATTTGAAAGTTCAGTGACCATTTCATATCTCAGCACAGTTCTTGACTAATGTCCTGTCTGTGGCTGGATATAGTTATGGGAATATGTCTGATGGTGGAGTCATCCTTTTCCACTGTTATGTTAAGGTGCTGGTAAACCCAGCTTGATTCTTTTTTTATTTATTTACTTAATAATAATAACAAGCTAAAAATCACTGTGTTATTTAATATCAGGCTTCCTGAGAGATTATTATGTATTGGTATTGTATTTGTCTTTCTGACAAAGGAATAACAGCTTTTCCAAAGCATACCCTTAATAGTTGAGCAGAGCAGCACTTGGGAATTAGTAATAAATCTCAGTGGCACCTAGGATGGGATATTAAAACTTCCCTCCTCAGCAGCTTTTTGTCTCAAGACCTGAACTAATGGAGGGACAAGTTGCACTTTGCTTTTGGTTTGCAGTTAACTGCAAGTCTGAAATCTCCAGAAGTTTTTTAACTCCCTTCCTATACCAAATAAGTTGATCATGTTTTTATCCCAGAATTGCGTTATTTTGTCTGAATTCCCTTTTGCTGGTTTAGGGAGCTTTTAGGCTTTTCCAGTGAGCTTTCAGGGTGGCAGTGTAACTGAGAATGACCTTCTGCAGCATCACTGCTGTGTCACTGTTGCGTGCTGCAAAGTCCAGGGTGCTCAGTGGAGCTCCTTTCCACAGCCATGCTCAAATCTGTGCCTGTGCCTGCTTTTTATAGAACTCTACCTTCAAGTTTTCCTGAAGGTGAACATACTTACACTTATGTAAGACCATAATATTTATTGTGCTTTATCCAGGTCACCTTAGTGCTCTTCCAGATCTCTGGGGTAATTGCAAGTTGAATGTATTTAGAATTTCACTGAAGGGTACTGCCAAAAATACTTCCTTTAACAAAGTTATCTGAAGTTGAATTAACTTCCTGCTTCTAAATGTGTATATTTGAAACCTATTTTTGAGCACAAGCATAAACATGATGTAACCTTCCTTGCACTGAACTTGAGTGCTCCTGTTCTTACAGTACTAAAATCCTAAGAGAAAAACATTAGAAATGGTTAGAAATTGGTTCTTTCTTTACCATAGGCTCTAAATCCCTTCTTTAGCCAGGGCCAAGACTCTCTATTGGATATTTTTGTTTTGCTTTCCTTAAAAAATGACCTCTAGTTGCTGCAGCTGACCCTGTAAAACCATTTGAAGTATGCCTCAAATGGAAGCTAAAGCAGCAGCCTGTCTCTGAAGGCTGACCTCTGTATGTCATACCTCTGAAACAAGAACTGTCTTGGGTTTAACTGGAGCTTTGGCTAACTTTTCAGTCCTGGTAATACTCTAAAAATTGGCACATCAAGTTTCAGCATGTTTCCTCTGGACTGGAACAGCTGTCGTTGGATGCAGGACATCAGTTCCTAAAGATACATTTAACAAAGTACCCTGGCCTGGAGCAGGTCCCTCAGTGCATCAGCACAGGGTGGCTGTACTGTGTTCAGAGCTGGCGTCGCATCTGGACCACTCACTGGTGGACCTGGCTTTCAGCACCTCGTCCCATACAGTTTTTAAAGTGCTTAGGCTTTCTTTCCCATGGCTGTTGTGGAGGGTGGCAGCCAGGACCACTTCCTTTTTGCTTGTATCGGGTTCTCCACGTGTTGCCTTCAGTGGGTGCACCCTGTGTTCCCACATGCTGCCATCACTGGATGAATCACTCTTCAGTGGTGCGCTCTGTGGCCTGTGATTTTGCACAGCTTTCTCATATCCTGCCTTAGCTGCCCCTGTCCCCCTCCCAGCCTCTCAAGTCTTCATCTGCTTGCTGTATCCTTACACAAAAGCCTTTCCCTGATTATCTTGTTACTTTTGTCTGTGCCTTTTCTGGTATTGGTATAACTAGTTCTGAGACTGACATCCTGAATTTCCCCACAGTGATTTCAGAGTAATAATAGCTGATCTTAGAGGCTGTGGCAGTGTATGTGTAGCTGCTGGTGCTTTTTCCTTCCTCAGTATTCATTGCCTTGCATTTACTGGTATTTAATTTCACCTGCAGCTATGGTCGGGTCCTTCTGCAGCCCTTCTCCTTGATAATTCTATACCCAAAAAGTCATATCACTTATGTATCCTTTTATCCATAGTTAGCATATTATCTAGCTATCATATGCTAAGACCTTTTAATGTACCTGGAATTAAAGCTGTAGCTTGGAATGAATGTGGTGAATTTTCACCTTCAGTGCTTTTGACAATAACATTTATTTTTAGATGCTTTGTGTGGCTTTACGAATATTTTCCTGTTTTATGTAAAGGATGTATTTATCCATAGCAGGATTAGAGGAGAGGGACTGAACAGTGTGTGTGCATGAATTTACTCACGTTGCATCATCCTTTTCTATTGCAAACACAGAAATTTTCCTGCTGGATTCCCCTCAGGGCTTTACAGCAACTGATGTTTCATATGTATGTGGTTCTCCCCAGATGACCTGACTTTCCTCAGAAGGGGCTATCTTTCTAGCAGAATGCTGTAATGTGATGGGCACCTTCAGGGTTTTGACAGTTTTAGATCATGTATTGATGATTTGATGAAATGAGTTCATCATGTATTGATGAACAGAGTTGCTGGTACCACTGAGATCCTGCGAGATGTGCCTGGGAAACTGGGGATGCTGAACAGGGAAGAGTTAGGGAACAATTGCTCCCTCAGGGAGGGTTTCTGGTATGTTAAAGAAAACCTTGCAGCTCTGCTATCACTTTATTGGACCTTCTCCAGGATTGAAGCCCAGTGAGTTGACATCAGTGTCTTAGAGCTTATATTTGAAACTATAGGTAAGATGGGTGGAAAACTGTCTCTCGGGAGCTTTGCCTGTGTGCTTCCTAGGTCCAAAAATACAGTGATGTCTCAAGCCTGTTTCCATGTCAGAGCAGTTCTGGGAGGTTTCTGTATGGTGCTGCTCCCTGAAAGCCCGTCAAGCCACAGGGTGGAGGCTGATGCACCAGAGCTGTGTAGTTGTATGACCTGACCAGGGAATCTGAACTACTTCTTAAAGTTCATATTCTATGTGGAGATCAAAACGTTGCTGTAAGAGCGATGAGGCTGTCAGCTGGGAACACCAGCACTTACTGTGCAGGTCATGCATTCGAGGTGGCTCCTCAGCAGTTCCTAACATTGGTGACAACTCCATATTAACTATTCTTTGTCCTTACCAGTGTAGGCAAGGACTGAATCAGTGACTGAGGTATGAAAAGGCCTGTGCCATGCTGAGCCCTGAGATGTCCCTTGGAAAGCTGGTGCATTTATTTAACCCTTTGAAACAAACTTAGTTAGTAAAGGAAAGCCAAGGTAAAGTGGGCTTCATCTTTAAAAAGATGGATATGTCAGAAACATCTTCCAAAGACAAAAATGTCAGAGGTGTTTCTGTTCTTCTGAGTTTGACACAAATGTCCTCTAAAATGTTCATGAAATATGTATCAGATGTGTCTGAATTGTTGGTTTTCACCTATTTTCCTTCATTTAGTGCCATAAAAATTTGCACCTTGTAATTTGGAGAATAGTTTGACCAGATGCCATCTCTACTGTATGAAAGGAGAATCGGGATTTAAACATGCTTTTCACTTTTTAGGGTAGTCCAGAGTGAGGAATTGATGTATGACAACAAAATGCCCTTGTATGACCATATCCCACTTTTTCCTTCTGTGATAGTGATTGAGGCCTGAAGGCAGAGCCAGCTGCAGGATAGCTGCACTTCATAGAATCTGAGACTGGTTTGGGTTGGAAAGGACCTTAAAGCTCATCCAGTTCCAACCCCTGGCATGGGCAGGGACACCTCACAGTAGAAAATTCATGCTGCATGAAAGTACCATGCTATTTCCAGTTCACTCAGCTGTCTTTGTGCCATAATGCGATGAGTACGATGTCACCTTCCTTCCTTGTACCACTTTTTGTACCGTGCTGCTGTTGAAACAAGCTTTCAACTACTGAGGAACTTCCTTTCTGTGTCCACATTGATACAGGTTTATTGAAGTTGAGGAGGCTCCTGGCTATAAATAAGATGGAATACATTGTGGTTGCTGAATGAGCCTCACAGAAGTGTCCATGAAGGGCATCCAGTTGGCAATATGTTTTACGATGCTTTATTTATGCAAGTGACTTATTTTTGGTCATGCCTGAAATGTACCAGCAGCTTTCATCATGCTGAGGTTATTTAGAGAGTCATTGAAATAGCAGGTAGTATTATGGTTTAGAATTATGATTATTAGTAGGTAATAAAGAACTTGTATTCAGGGTAGGACAGGTAATGAAAGGCAGCTACTACTTGAAGGTGGTATCTAGGAGCTTTAGAATTTTAATGCACAATCAGAGGCTGTTTCTCCATTAAGGACCATTTAAAAGAGATTAAATGTTTCTGAAAATGCCATTTGGCATCTTTTGAGAAATGGCCTGTGAGTAGCAAAGTCTCCATTATCCCTTCTGTGTGCCACCAGTTGCATCATTTAAAATCCTTTCTTCTTTCCAGGATTGTCATTTATGTAAGTATGTTCTGGTTTTGGACATAGCTACACATCTGTGTAGTGGTTTAAGAAGGTTGATGTCCCTCAATCACCTACGTGGGGTGTCCCACAGCCATTGTCACCTCGCAGTTGTAGGCAGGTAACCTCCAGCTAGCAGGTGATGCTTCATGACTGAGACAGCTTTGCAGACTCCCATCAGAGTACGTCCTTACTTCCACCACCACTTCTCAGGCTGCAGGCTGTGGTGGCATTGCTTTTACTGATGCTCAGCAAAGCAGCTGGCCCCTTGAGGAGAAATCAGAGGAAGTGTTGCCATTCTGCTTGAATTTCCTGGTCAGGTCAGCTTATCCAGTGCTATCAAACGCTTTGTTTGCCACACTGTTAACAAAGATGCTCTTACTTTCATGCAGTGTGAGGTTAGATTCTAGAGCCTTCAGATACTACCTGTTGACTGTGTTCCTTGTCAAGACAGTGCTATGTGGTGATAACCTTTTTGCCTGAGAAGATCAGCAAACTGCTTGCTTTTAGTGGTGGTCCTGATGCTGAATACCCAAAGGTGGGGTAGAGCCGTTATGGTGCTCATGCACTGAGCACGCTGACACCTGCTTACATGTCTCATTGAAAAGAAGGAACTCTTTCCTGCACTTTTGAACACAAGACCTGCCAGATCTCACAGCTGATGGTTGGGGATGACCCTGATCCAGTCAGAGCAATGGCTTTCTACTGTTACTGTGGGTCATCTGCATAGTTTTGTATCAGAAAGACTTCCTCAGTTACCTTCCCTGAAGCCAGTCTCTTTAAGAGAGCATTCTTACAAAATACAGATGCCAGCTGAGCCATCTGATGGGCAGAGAATTATGATATTGGCAGCATGTTTAATATAAATACAGTGGGGAGGATTAGCTTCACCTTATCTAGTGCAGGACGGGCTTGTTTCCAGAGCTGAAGGATTTTGTAATAAACATTTCATCTCTGATTTAGCTCACTCATTAGTAAGAATGTTCTGCGTCTAAAAATAACTGGATAGTCTAAAAATACATTTGAAAATGCTTCTAAATACACTTGTACTTACCACTGCTAAATTGTGACAGCGTTGCTGGAAAACCACTTGTTTTCCACTCTGTATTAATATCCATTCCAACTGGGTGATTGCTTCTTCAACTTTTAAGAAGCAGAGTTGATATCCAGAGATTCAAGTCTTTTGGTACTGTATTGATTCATAGAAGAGCCTCCATAGATTCAAGCAGGAAAGTGGTGTGCTGCGTTCCATTAACCTCTGGCAGTATTGGTATCACACTGCTTTGCTGCTCCATTAAAGTGCCAGCTCATCAGTTGCCTCTAATGAGTATCTTGTAAGATCTTGTGATGTTTTCGGACTAGAAGGTACATTCCTGGGTAAATACCAGGCTTACTTGGTTATTGAGCTATAGAGTTGTTACCCATTAAGTAACTGAACAGTGGACATGAAGCATATCTGCAGCTTACACACAGCAAAGCCAGGTAACCCTAGACTTCTGTCCTGAGCCCACACAGGCATCCTGTTAGTTCTGAGCCATCTTCAAACTTGCGTAAGCAAGCATCTGGCCTTCAAAAATACACTGTGAAACACAATATTCAGTTGCTGAGTCTCTTTATCTCTTCACAGCAGATAGGCAGAAGAGAGTAAAAATAGTGCTTGGCAGCTTGGTTATGTCTGGGGACAGAGAATAAGTCTGGCTTAGTTTCGTGTTAAAGCTCCAACAGAAACGGTCCTTTCTCAGAGGGTGTGGTTTTTACTTGCCTTTCCATGGTTTAATTAGCTGTACAACATCTGGGCTTCAAGATAAAATAGCTCTTTATTACCTGTCTTTGTCATAGTTGTTAATATGCACGCTGAGGACTTGAGCTGTTTACTGCACCACCAGCTACTTCATCATATTTGTCTTTGACAAAGACTTTTCTTCAAGCTGTATGTTACTAACAGTTGCAAATTTCTAGCTACTGAACCTGGCTTTACTGAGCGCAGAGAACTCCACAGTGTAGAATTGCTGCAGAGGTTGCAGAAACACCTGAGTTCATGTCAGTGCCATAGTTCATAAGTGTAACTGTTCATCTCCTTATATTCAAGTTCTCTCTGTATACTGAAACAGGTTCATTAGAGCAATGCTTTGCTCCTTTTCTCCTCCACTTACACCTTATTTTTCTGTGCATCAAACTGAAAGGAGTAGGGACATGATATGGCAACAAAGCACGCAAAGATGTTGAAAACGGCAACAAAAGCATTCTTCAAGAGTGTCTTGTTTCTGTGCCTGATATTCCTGTTTCTGTATCTGATACTCCCTTATCTGTTCAGATACTGCCCAGATGATCGTGACATTACTTAGGATTCTTTCCAATCAATCAAGACTGTGTTGAAATTAAAACCCCACTAATGAAAGTAGAAACACAGTGTAGATGACAGGGAGCTCACCTCAAAAGGAAACCCGCAGTCAAGGTCTTACATTTCAGAGTATGAATTTTTCAGGGTAGCCTGATACACAAATCTCTGCTGCATTGGCCTCCCAGTGAAACACAGCAGGTATACAAGTTCTTCTCTGTAAGGGGCCCTTAGGCACTTGGGGTCTGCTGAGGAGACTGCACCATTGCTGTAAGACTTGAAATTCTGTTTTGGGTAAACTAAAATGCAGTCAGGTAGGGTGGGTTATTTGGGGGTTCTGTATGTGAATTCTGCCCTGGATAGCTGATTTTCTAAGTAGACCCTTACTATTCAACACAGAAGTACCAAAACACTGGTGATTCTTCCACTAGGGTTTTTAAATTAGAGTAGCAATAGTTGAGTACACTTAACGTGGGCAGTTTTCATTGTAGAGCCTGCCTTAGACATTTCAGACAAGATGCTGCCTCCTTTGGAAAGCACAGAGGTCAGACACGTTGGTCCTTAGTGATGCTGTTACATGGCTTCTGCCTGTTCAGAAGTGTTTCTTCAGAGCTGCAGACAGACCTTCTCAGTCTCTCTGAAGCAGGAGCTTCATTGCTTGGTTTGTATTATTTTAAGGATAGCAGTAGTGTGGTGGGTTTGTATTTGAAAAAGCCCCAGCAACTTTTCAGCTTCAATCAAATGATGAAGCATGACATTTAAGAGATGCTGATAGTGCCTGTGTGTATTTGGCTGGTAACCTGAAATATTCCACTTGGGTATCTGTAGTACCTCTGTGACCTGTGGGTTTGAGAGAGAATGAACCATGCAGTTAGATTTATACCCAACCCTTGTTCTCTGTGTTTTGGGGTGGGCTGGGCAGAAGGGAAGAGCTTTGCTCATCACACATTGCCTAGGTTTAATTTATGCTTGTTTCTTTGGTAGGGTTTACCCAGTTAAAGATGTACCTGCAGAGCCTGAAGCTCTTACACACTGGCTTTATCAACGATTCATTGAAAAGGAGGATCTCTTGACACATTTCTATGAAACAGGTAGGATGATACCTAGCAAAGAGAATCGTGCTGTGTAATGGTTTTTCTTACACAGATCTCAAAACACTTTAAGGGTACTTATGCATTTTTCAGGTGAATATAGTAGATGTAAGTATTACTACTTTTTATGTGGCAGAAAAGTATGACAAAAATGATCTAGGAAAGGTAAATTACCCGGGTAACATTGGATAGTTTAAAATTCCAGGGTAGTGGCTGACAGATGGCACATTCAAAATGGATCTGAGGAAATCCTCTTTTTTCCTGCAATAACACATAGTTCAGCTGTGAAACTTGCTGCTGTGGCATTTCATGGAGTGGAATAACTTTGCAGGGTGCAAAGAGGTAGCGAACATCTACATCTGTAGTAGAAGTATTTAGAGCTTAAGTTAGGAGGGGATCTAAAACCTTCAGGGTTTAAAATGAGCAAGTTCTTGAGTTAAAAGGATTAAATAAGACTCTTAAATGAGGCAGGTTATTTTATCTGCTTAGTGTGGCTGTTTAGCATGGGCCTCTGGCACTTTTACTGTTGGAGAAAACTGATTTAAGTCCTCTGAAGGTCTAATTGAAAACTATGGTCCTCTTTGGTTTCCTTCTAATCCTAAACAGAAGGATGTTAGGATTGGAAGGATCCATAAGAGCTAAATAGCAGAAAGTCTTTGGAGTCTTGATCAGCAGCCCTGTGCTGTCAGTACTGGTCTTGTTGCTGTGAGGTACTGAGGATCACTTCTGTCATCATATACAATATATATACATATATATTCTGTCATAACTTCCAATGTTAATGGACCAGAGGGATCTGAATAAACTCAGGGCATTAGTAACTTTACTGCAGAGATACTGGGAAACATGGGATTTAAAATACCAGGTAAATACTCTGGAGCTCAAGCTGGAGAAGTGCTTCCTTAGGGCTGTCTTTTTTCATGCAGTTGATACTGAAGTATGCCATTTGCCCTCTGGCAGGTGTGTGTGCAGAACACAGGACAGAGGAATTCGTCATAATACAAAAGAAAAGGAAAATCCAGAGAGGAAAAAATAGAGTTTTATTTCAAGGAAAGGGAGTTTATCCAGCAGAGACTGAGTAGACTCCAGATGAAATAAAGCAGCTTGTTTCTGAAGACAAATGATCTCTTTATTAGCAGGTATCAGAGTCTCTCACATCAGCTGAGTTTTATATTCCAGAGTGACTATGTTAACAATGTTACTTGTTCTAGATGATTTATTGCAAAGACTTCTTTAATTTTATTTGGAGGGCTTAATTTATCAATTGGAGTGCTTCAGAAGATTCATAGAATTCTTTAGCAATCCAGAGCTGTATTTCATTTTATGAAATAACTCCTGTCACTCAGCCATCACCGATGGCAAAAGTCAGACCCTGCTCTATAAATCACATCCAAATGTGTGTATTAGACTTCATTAGACAAATAACTTAGTGAATCTGTTTAAAACTACAAGTGTAGCCAGGAGGAGGTCAAGAATCCTTGTTATTGAGATGTTATTTCACAAGTACCATTAAAGTAAGTCATAACCCCAAAATCAGTTTGAGTTTAGTGGATATAATCAGATTTATTCATAGAAATGTGCTTTCAAAATAGGATAATTGGTTATAATTTGCCAATGTAATCAGTATAAATTAATAAGATGTTTCAAATGTAAATGTGATGACATAGGACCTTAGTGGGCATAAATTAGCATCATGTAAAGTTACTACCGTTTGTGCCAGTTGAGCACTTGCTCACACTGCTTGTGTTGGCTTGTTGCAAAAGGGCTGGTACGGGTTGTGGAAACCCCCTGGAAAAGTCTTGGGGCCTAATGTGAGAGGGATCCCTGAAGCTGCCCAAGAGCTGGCTTTGTGTCGGTGGGTGCGTTGTCTCAAGTCGTAGAATCTCAGAATGGCTTGAGTTGGAAAGGACCTTAAGATCATCCAGTTCCAACCCCCTCTCTTTACAATTAATATCTCTAGGTATGAGCTGCACAAAGACTCCTGTTTTAGCAGCTAGTGGAAAGCTCAGTGAGTTCATGATTTCTCTGAAGTCTTCAGCAGGGATAACCTTGAACACTGCAGTAACCCCAATGAGATTACATTTGGCAGGACAAAAGCACTTGGAGACTAATTAAAAACCCCAAACTATAAACCAGGAGCTTATCAGTTGGAAATGAGTAATTGTATACTGAAGTCATCATGTTCCTCATTCACTCTGATCATAAGCCAGCTGGTGTGTTGTAACTCAGAAAGTCAGCAGTGTCATCCTACAGGGCAACGGGAGAGGGTTTTCACCAGTGCTACAGAAACGCTCTTCATCATAGGAGATCTGAAACGTCATCTGGAAATGGAACAAGTAATAGGTGCTGGGATGAGGAAGGAGAAGGAGGAGTCATGTTTGTGAAGGACAACTCAAAGTGTTTGGCTTCTCTTAGCCAGGAAAGTGAAGGATTGTTTTCTCTGTAGGATTTGGGTGATGGGAAGAGACAGTGGCTGTCTGTACAAAGGAAAAAGGGAAGTTCTCTAAACCAAAGGTCAGCCTTGGTGCAGGAAAACTAGTGGGCCATGCAAGAACGAATGTATTGTGAGCAAATAGAAGCTTAGCAGTGAGGATTGCTGAGGAATAAATGGTGTGGCAAATCTGCCCATGTGTGAAAATACATATTGGTGAGAGGAGGATGGGGCTCATCAAGGGTTACCTTAGGGGTTTTTAATTATTCTGATTTTATGTTTTAATTTAAGAGCATTCATACAGGAAGAAAAGCTTTGTCTTAAATGCTTGATTGCAGTTCCTGCAGTGATTGCAGACGTGAAGCGCAGAGCTAAGTTGCTGATGGTATCTAATAGCCCAAATTGTGTGGTTTCTGAGATGAAGAATTGACACTGCTGTGTCTTTACTCTGAATCATTCATCTCTTGTTCTTCTGGGAGTGGTTGTGACTCCATAATGCTGCAGCAAGCACATCATCTTCTCTGGTACATTTAGAGGTTTTATATCTGCTGTTTAGGAATAACCACGACAAAGGTGGTTCCTCTCATGTAGGATTTGTGCAACACAGAAAATGAATGCAGATTTAATATGCCAATGTAAATATATGCAATTTGCTGATGATCATAAAGCTCTGATGTATTCAGACACGTTTAATTTAGTGTTGGAACTCAGAAAAAGGCAAAATAGGGAAAAATGATGGTTTTTTAGCTGTGTCCTGCCAGTCGTTGTCATCTAAACCGGCATTTCAGTAAAGTCTTCCTAGCAACCTGTGTGGCGATTGACAATGTTTCATAGGTGTATGTGAATGAGCAGTGAATGTTCAAACCACAGGTGAAAACTTGCTTAAAAACCAAGAGTGTGTGTGTATACTGATATATTCCTAGAGGAACCTTGAGACTGTATCTGTGTTGCTTCTTCACACTATACAACATCATTACAAGCAGCTGTAAAGGTTCCTATGGAACCCACTCAATGTGATCATCCGGGTGTTAATAAAACTTCACGGGTAACACAGAAAACTCAGTTGACTTTCAGACCTCCCTGCGAAGGCTGAATATAAGGATTGTCACTTTGAAGTTCATGCTTTATATGCAGGTGAAAATGAAATTGTTCCTAGTAATTAAGATAAGGGGGGTTAATCTTATTTTCTTGAAGATAACTGATGATGCTGGAGAGTCATTTGAAAGCTTAACAGCGTAATAATACAGAAGTAACCAAACAATTGCTTGTGACACAAGCGATAGTGGTAAAGAATCCTGCGTTAAGGCTCTTGTTCCTGCTGCAGAAGCATTAAACATGTTTTCTTTTCTCTTTCAGGAGCTTTTCCTCCACCGCAGGGTCAAACAAAAGCTATTTCTCGGGAGATGACCCTCAGTAACCTGTGGCTAGTGGGCATACAGTCCTTCGCGTTCCTCTCGGGTGGTATGTGGTACTGCATCTTTCAGTATTTTTATCATTGCCTCTTTTAAAAGTGGAATGGGACCTGAGGACACAATGGGAAGCCAGGCTCTCGCAAATGAGTATCATGTTGTATGTGCAAATGTGAATATCCAAGAGTAAAGGAAAATACTGGACAGACTCTTACCTCTCCCCAGGGAAATGTTGAACTCTGCTGAAAGTGAAGATCAGTACCATAGTGACCTGATGATGTATGATTTTAAGAGTTGTCTGTATTTTTAAAGATGTATATTCTCACCCACACTTAAGCAAACTCCGCATTTGGACAAAAGGTGCAATCATACAACCACCGTAGAAGAATGTCTGTGACAAGAAGGCTCTGTCACCACAAGTACTTCTTGGCATTGTAGTTAGAGCTCAGAAAACTCAGCAACTTGTCTCTTCAGTAGCCTGTACAGCGTTGGTGTGGTAGAGATTCCTCATTTGCACAACTTGTACTTTATTGCAGCTCATTGTGCTGGAGTCAAAGATACTCGACAGAGCTGGTGGCGGTATCTTTGCAGCTATGCAGTTGTTGTATGAGACACATTGATCTAAACCCAAGTCCCAGATGAGATCCAGCATCAGTTGTGTTTTGTGAGGGATCAGTCCTCAACAAAAGCATTGCAGCATCGTAGTGTGATTCAGAGCTCTCCACGTTTGATGGATCAGCCCATCCTTGCTGTGGGTGTGCCATTGGCTTCCCGAATTCCGTGTGTTGCCAGTATCTTGTGTTCTGAGGAAACTTGGAAAATGAAAGTTCACTTGGTTAATTTTCCCCTTTTGCTCAGAATGCACCTCAGCCGTCAGTATCAGCTTTGCAAATGCACTTTTAAAGGTGAAAAGACAGTGAAGGAAAGACATAAAGCTTAGGGAATAGAGGGAAGCTTTATTGGTCTCACATCAGAAGCTGTTTCTGAAGGTCTGCTGCTGATTTTGAGCCACCTTTGTGTTTTGTATAGTGCAGTCCAACCAAGGTGACCTTTGGGTGCTTCATTGAGGCCTTTCTCTCCCCGCTGGTTGCAACACCACTAATTGTACTTGTGGGAGAGTTGAAATAATTCAATGCCAACCATCTTAATGTTTTGCTAAGGAGTCATAGAAGAAAAAATAGGTTCTTAAAGAGAAAAAAATAGGTGTAATTTCTGTCATAAATCTATAGGATGGTAACTACTCTGAATAACCGCATGGAGGGCAGTATTCGTTAGCTCACCGTTGTGCTAAAACCATACCGGAAGAAGGATGAGTTGACTTGAAGGGCAGACTGGAACAGGAGATGCTTTCAGTTACGTAGGATGTCTGTGACGTACGGTCTCACTCCTGGCAGGTCTAGTTGGCATTGTGTTTGTGTGATTATACACAGATTTGAGAGAGCTGTTCCCAAAATAAAACTAATCTCTAAATACAAGCAGGCTACCCAGCACTTCGGATGTTGGCATACTGCCTTTTGCAGAGTAATTTCACTGAGAACAAAGTAAGCCCTCAATAGTTTTGGCTCCGAGTTAGCAGTATTGATCCCCTTCCTCCTTCCCTCTCCTGCTGCATGAATCACAGTGGGTGGTGTGCAGAATACAAAGCCTGGTCAGTGTTCCCTTTGGCGGGGAGCTAAGAGCATCCCAAAATGCCAGGCAATGCCCATTTCCCTGACTTACTGGAAAACGACCAGACAACTCTGTCACCCCTGTGCCCCTTGAGGTGGCTCAGTGGGGATGGTGGCAAAATTATACCCATGAACTGTGTGTGTCCCTTCATTGACTTAACCCCTGCAGCTGGGAGGTAAAGAACAGTGGTCACCTCCAGTTTCATGTTTTGGTGGGGTCCTCTTTCTCTATCCCACCTCTTTACACCCACTCACACACCTGCATTCTGGTGTAATGGGAGATCCATTTTAAAAGAGGCATGCCCCAAAAGGAAGTGGGAGTGTGGTGGGCTTTTTCCCTCTCGCTCTTGCTAAAGTACAGCTGATGGATTGAATATATTTAATGCGCCCTTTTGCAGAAGGGTGCTGTTGAAGCGGTTACATCTGCTGTGCCCAGTGCAGATGGCAAGCTCTTTACTCCTGCCCTTCACCAGCTGGTTTGGTCACAACCGTGGAGATGCCCACAGTACAGCTGGGTTTATTTTGAGCTAGGACAGGCTGGAGTGATACATAAAAAGGGAAGTTGGTCTAAGCAGATTGCACAGCAGTAGCTCACATCAGGAGATTGTTCTTTATAGACGCTGTGACCTCCATGTAAGAGCATACTGTTTTCTCAGATGCAGTGTTTCTCTTGTTCCAGTGGATTGCAGTCAGTAGTGAGTGTTCACATGCTGCCTAAAGAAATGAGTACTGCGCAATAATGATAATCATTTGATTTATCTGGTCCTGTTCATTTTCAGTTTGTTCCTCTGTAGTGCTTACTCTTGCGAGACGTTTGTTTTCAAGCACTGATTGTTGTTCCAGTAGGGTGAGTAGATAGGATTAGGTTTTAGGTTTCTTTCCTGCCTGCACTGGCAAATGTGAAGAGTCTGACATCGTGTCTCCTTACGGCTGAGTTGCTGTGGATGACAGTGGAATGAAACCATTGCTAAGAAACTCCAAAGTACCCTCCCAGCATGAACTTGGATGCTGCTCCATCAAAGAGAATAAATTGGATATAAGAAGTTTTTCTCTTCAGGGGCAAAGTGGATCCAGTGCATAGGAAATTCCATGCTAAAAATACAGTTTGTGGAGCTCAGCAGCCTGGCTTGAGGAACGTGAGTTCCTATCGGTTGCAGTTCGGTTCTTCCTTCTGGTGTTACAGGTGGGGGGATTGCCATGCCATCCATAGAAAATGATGTTAATGAACCATACAGCTGATCACAAAATGGGTAATTAATATATCTTTGGATTTATATTGGGGGAAATGAAATGGAAGAATGTATGAAATGCTAAAGAATGAAGAACTCCCAGACGAAACGCTGTTGCGCACACAAGCACGAGCGTAACGTTTAAGGGTGTTGTGAATAAAGATGGTTCTCTGCCAGGGTTGCACACGAAATATCTCTATGTTTTATGTTGAATTGTTTGTAAACAAGTTGTTACCATTGAAATGATACAAATCCTCATGCTTTCGTGTTGCTGCTCCTCACGTCCCATTACAGGAAGAGGATCTGCCCCTTTGCAAGGAGCAGTGTTTTCTTCGGCACTCATTGGCAAGTGTGTGTCTTTTCTAGCTGCTCTTGTGTGCCCTGGACGGTTCTGTTGAGCCCTGCAGCAGTGATGTCTCTTGCAGGAGGGATTTGTTTCCTAAGTTGCTCTCACCAGATTGTGAAAAGCAAGATTTCAGTGTGAGTTGCTTACTGGGAAATTAAAAGCTTCCTTCCTTCCCCACCTCCAGCATCACAGCTCAGATGCATCTTACAGCAGTAAAACTCCAGCGATCACTGTGGTACTGTCCATTAGTCACTTGGTTTGCAAACAATGCCACTTCCTTTTGTCTGACACTGCCATGAAGTGCTGTTCACGTGTTCCACCTCTTTGTACAAGTTAACGTGGATACCGATCACTGTGTGCGACAGGATTCAGCTGCTCCCCTTTGCCTTGACATAACATTTTGGGACCAAAGGTACTTCAAACTGGCATTTCCAAAGCATGAGTCCACGGTCGGGTGCATTCTCTTGCAAGTCAGCTGGGGGTTTTGTGGTGATCTGGTACAATCACTCAAAATAATTCTACACCGGGGGTACTGTATTGTTTGGAAATAATGGAGCCATAAGAAATAAAGGGTTATTTTGCAAAGTTGCATATTTGATAGTTTTTACACTGTTTTTTAAGCAAAGCAACCATTGGGAGAGTAGAATTGAAGCCACTCTCTGGTTTAAAAACGTCTGCATAAGTTACCAGCACCTCTGAGCAGCTTGGGTTGGCCTGTACAGCCTGTGGACTACCTGGCTGTGATATGGAAGAAGTCTTTAAAAGGATTCTATGCATTTTAAAGTTAAAGCTTTTATTTTACCATTGGATGATTATTCACTGAACAACTGTGCTATTAAAGTGAGTTAGTTCCTTCATATCACAACGGTGTTCATTTTGTATGATGAAAACGAGTTTTCTTGGTACCAGTTGGTTTTGCCTCCAGTTTTCTCTTCCTGTGTTACCTGCGGTTTGGTTTGTGTGATTAAATGGATGCAGGAGCCTGTAGTAACTCAGTGATTTTGCAAATAGCTGCTCATGGTTGATGGTGTTTCATGGGATTTATCTCATTGGGCTTTTTCCTAATTAAACCTTTCCATGAGCCAAGACATCCCTCAGAAATGGAGACAGATACCAGAGGCAGCATTGCTCTACGGAGAAATCAGGTGTCTCTTCCCATTACCATTTTGTGTGTGGCAAACACAGAGTTGATATTCCACACCCTCAAAGATTATTTCATGTGTTTTAATCTTTAATAGATTGGTTTTGTTGATGGTTATATTTATATCTGATAGATACACAATCTCTGTTGTGCTTACCATGAACACAAAACACAGTAAAAGAACTCTTTGGTTCACTACCCAGCTGCAGTGTTGCTTTGCGATGGAGAACGTTGCTTAGTGGAGCGTTCCTGAGGAGGGACATGGAGACAAATGTTCCTGTGCCAGGAGTGGTAAGGGGAGTTGTGGAGCAGCAGGGAGCTGGGAGGGGAAAGAAGCTTCTGCAGCACCACTTGCTGCAGCATGCACTAGAGACTGCAGAGTTTCTCTACAGGCCACTGTGTAGCAGTGCATCCTCCTGAGGCTCCTGAGAGCTGAGGCCAGAGCAGAGTCTGGGTTGCCGTCATCCCAGAGAGATGCGAGCAACCTTTTAGTGTCATCCCTTTGTACGTACTTACACTTGTTAACAGTGTGCTGTGTTTTTAAGCAACTCCAGCCAGGCAGGGCAGTATGGATCAGCCCCAGCATCCCTCTGCTAGCACCAGCTCTTCGCTCAGTGCCACCTTCTCTGTCACCGGCTGCTGTGTAATCCTGCAACACAGGGCAAAGGGAAAAGGAACTCTGTGGAGCCTGTGAGACGTCTTGCAAGACTTCTGCAGCAGCACCATGGTTGTACTTATGTCTACCTCTGTTTCTTTCCTGTTTTTCCATGTGTTGTGTTTTGCTGTGAGGGGTGGGGGGAATTGGGGGAAACTGGGAGGGAGAACTTGCCATCTGCATCTTGGGACACAGTGCTGACCAGCTGTGTTGTCACACACAGGAAGTCGATCACATAGGAATAAATTTGTATCTCTCAGGACTCTTATCTTGTATTTTTACCCCTCTGGCAGCTGGGTTTCTGAGAGGCCACTTGGGCATTGTCACATATCTCACCTCCCGCAGCTGAATAAAGGCTGTGTTTTGTGTTTCTCCTTCGAAAACATGAACCAGACTTTGTTGTAAATTGTCATTAAATTACAGTAAGTTTTCCTTCATTGAAAGTGGCAAACTTCAATCTGTGCAGCAGAATGGAGGGGTTGGGCTTGCATTGGGGTTTTGGGGGTTGGTTGATATTTCGCCAGCTCCCTTGCAGCTGGTGGAAGCAGTGAAGCGTTGAATGTGCAGTGCTCGTGCTGTTACCCCACAGGCAGTGACTTATGGGGCCTGGCACACACACCTTGAAGAGCTGTCAGAGTTGAACCTCGAGGCTCTCATGAGGGTGAGTTGTTTTTCCTAGAAGTCCCTTAACCAAAACGGATGACACAAATGAGTATAACTGTTACTTTAATGGGCCAGTAGGGCCTTAAAACTCACCCACAAGTCTGCAGTATCCAGAACACCCATTAACCAGTGCTGGGTTAATTGCTGGCAACTTTCCTCTTGCTTGTGTTTGTTCTAGTGCTGAGTATTGATTGCATTGTCATTTAAAGCTGTAGCTGATGGGTTTTCTCACTGCAGTACCAAGGTGTGGTTTATGTTTATAGCTGTTATCCAACATTCAGTTAAAGCTATAAAGGGAAAAGTGATTTAAGTGAAAGAGTTAATGGTCTGCTTCATTTACGCAAGGGTGTGTAAATACACTTGTGTTCTGTACAAGTACCCAGCAGGTGCTGCTGTTGGTCATGGGCTCCTGTCTGTAGGAGAAGATGGAAGATGCAGCAGTTCAGTGCAGGACATCAGTGAGGTCAGGAGGAGGAAGCAGGGGAAAGGCCCAGCATGGGTATGTGTTTGGTTCTCCATCCCTCCAGTCT